GTCGAAATCAGCGTCGAAGTCGGGTTCGGCTTCGAGCACGGGTTCGGGTTCGAGGTCGAAGTTTTCCTCATCGCCGAAATCGTCGATGTCGTCGATCTCTTCTTCAAAATCATCGCCGATTCCCGGCACGTCGAGCATCGGAATGTCGAGTCCGCCGCGAATGTTTTCGAGTTCATCGAATTCATCCTCTTCCTTGCGGTTTTCCGTCGCGTCGGGAGCAATTTTGACGTTGCGGTAATATTTCATACCTGTTCCCGCCGGAATCAAACGTCCCATGATGACGTTTTCCTTCAAGCCGCGTAAAAAGTCGATGCGACCCGAAATTGCCGCTTCGGTCAGAACGCGGGTCGTTTCTTGGAACGAAGCCGCCGAAATGAACGAATCGGTTGAAAGCGAAGCCTTCGTGATACCCAAAAGAAGCGGTTCGGCACTTGCGGGCTGTCCGTCTTCGTCAAGCACACGGCGGTTTTCGTCTTCGTAACGGAAACGGTCGACTTGCTCTTCGAGCAGGAAGTTGGTATCGCCGACATCTTTGATCTTGACCCAGCGAAGCATCTGTCGAACGATGACTTCGATGTGTTTGTCGTTGATGTTCACACCCTGCAAACGATAAACTTCCTGAATTTCGTTCACTAAGTATTCCTGCAACGCCGTCGTTCCGAGAACACGCAGAATATCGTGCGGGTTGAGCGGTCCGTCCATGAGCGGTTCACCCGCTTTGACGTGATCGCCTTCCTGCACGTTGATGTGCGTTCCGCGCGGAATGTCGTATTCGCGTTCTTCACCGTCACCGCCGGTGATGATGAGTTTGCGTTTACCTTTCGAGATCGTGCCGAATTTAACCGTTCCGTCGATTTCCGACATAACGGCTGTTTCACCCGGACGGCGAGCCTCGAAAAGCTCGACGACACGCGGCAAACCGCCCACGATGTCTTTCGTTTTCGTCGTTTCACGCGGAATCTTTGCGATCACGTCGCCCGGTTCGACTTCCTGCGCGTCTTCGACGAGCAGGTTGGCACGAATCGGCATCTGGTAGGTTTTCAAAACCTTATTGCCGTCGCGGATTTCCAGACGCGGTTGGTTTTTCTCATCCGAATCCTTGACCACGAGGCGTTTTTGTCCCGAAACCTTATCGATTTCCTCTTCGACGGTTTTACCTTCGCGCAAATCCTGATATTTCACCGCGCCGCCGACTTCCGTTAAAATTGCGAAAGTAAACGGGTCCCAGGTGACGAGAATATCGTCCTCTTTGACCTTCGCGCCGTCTTTGACGTGAATCTGTGCGCCGTAAACGATCTGGTAACGCGCCACTTCGCGTCCGCGATCGTCAACCAAGGCAAGCTCGGACTGACGTTTGAGCGAAACCATTTCACCGTTGCGGTTTTTAATGATCTTCAGATCGTCGAGATATTTCACCGTTCCGTCCATCGCCGCGATGTGTTTGGTTTCCTGTTCGAGACGCGCCGTTCCGCCGACGTGGAAGGTTCTCATCGTCAACTGCGTTCCCGGTTCGCCGATAGATTGCGCCGCGATGACTCCGACCGCTTCGCCGATCTCGACGGTTTTTCCGGTTGCCAGATTGCGCCCGTAACATTTCACGCAGATTCCGCGACGCGATTCGCAGGTCAGTGCCGAACGAATG